ATTCTCGAAGCTGTGAAAAATGCTCAATCTTTAAATTCAAGCATCATTCGTAAACGTCACAGTATTATCGCTGAGATGGAAACAATGTTAAAATTATGGCGTAATAATCAAGTAAATGTGAAAAATTGTAAAATAATATAGGCCTAATTTGTTATACATATGTATTATCTAAGATTTTATTAAACATTTTTTTCTAAATTATAGTTTTCTTTAGTCTCCGGCCCCAATTAAAAATTATTTGTATGTATTTATATACGAAATTATACCCCGACTTACGCGAATTCGACTTACGCGGTGACCGCTCGGTCCCACCTATCGCGTAAGTTTGGGGTATTACTCTATAGTTTTTCATCAGAATTAGGAAGTTTCAACAATCACCAAACTTCAACAGTCAATAACATAAATTGTAAGTATATTTTTCATATATATCTAAAACCAATTGATATATTAAACAAAAATTAAATTTAGATTGCATTTCCAAAAAATCCTCATGCCGTAAGTACAGTATAAAAATATTTTATAATACACAGTTTTCTTTGTATATTGATATTTTAATATAAATTAGATTTAAACTCTCAAAAATGTTCAGAGTTTGAGTGTTAAAATTATTTTTTAATAAAATTAATATAGGGTATAACATTATAGTTTCTAATATAGATGTGATTATTGATTTCGATGCATTTTCCCTTCACGATGAAAATCTCCTGTTTAATTAACACAGTGTGCAGGCAGCTTGGGTTTGTGGCAACACATTCGAAAGAGTTCGGAAAAATTGATTTTTATAATGGGTCTGTTATTTTTCAAAATTTAACAGTTAGAGATAAAAAATCAATAAAATTCTGCAATTATTTCCATGGTTTAGGGGAGACCGGGGCAACTTCGGCATGCGGGGCAAGTTTGTCATGCGCTTTTTTTTAAAAACAAATTAAAAAGAGACTTTGGTTATAGGTTAGGCAGTTGAGTTTTATTGGTGGCTTGTTGAGTGTAGTGTTTTTATTGTTCTCCAACAAGCGTAGTTGAATTATCANTTTTATTAAACATTTTTTTCTAAATTATAGTTTTCTTTAGTCTCCGGCCCCAATTAAAAATTATTTGTATGTATTTATATGCGAAATTATACCCCGACTTACGCGGTGACCGCTCGGTCCCACCTATCGCGTAAGTTCGGGGATTACTGTACTGCAAAAGTGCAGTTTTACACGTGTGTCTTATTAAACTAATTAATTAATTTCAGTGTAACGTTGCACTGAAATTAATGCACCATACGCTTATATTTTCACAATGCTGGAAATATATGTTTTCTTTTGGAGTAATATGAAAAAGAACTTCTTGTATCCTATGTATTTCAATTTAGTTCCAGAAGTGGCTAAAATAAAAAGTTGGGAAACCATCGAGCAAAACGGATATATTTACCTGTGGCATCATGCAGAAGGCCAACCTCCTCTGTGGAAGCCTCCAGTTATACCAGAAATAGAGAACCAACTAATGCTATATAAAGGTCGTAGTGAACACATTGTAAATTGCCATATTCAGGTATTTATAACTAACACCATGCCAAATAAATAAATATATTATTTATGTTTTTATTTATGTATTGCAGGACATGATGAAAAATGCAGCAGATTTCGGTCATTTCAGCTGCCTTCACAAATTTGGCATGTCATCAAAAATTACTCTTCATCCAGAAAATTGGTGGAGATTTTTTCAATTAATAATGAAAATGTCCTGCTCTCCAGTATGTGATGAAACTTTTCCTTGTGACAAATATGAAGGCATTGTCATTTTTAAATTGTTCGGAATATCTTTACTACAGTCATCATTTGAAGTTCAACAGGTAATCTATATCTATATCTATATATATATATATATATATATATATATATATATATAATATCTCTATATGGTTAATATAAATCTTCCTTATGGGATGATGAGACACATTCATCTAAGGTTTGGACTTGTAACCTGGTACGCTAATTAATATTAGGTGGTTGGACTTGTAACCTGGTACGCTAATTAATAGGCAAGGAAGAAGTACGGGAACCAAAGGAGATCATTCAAAATTTTAAAATATACGACGATTACTGTAGAATGCGCTCTGATTTTGGCGTGTAAGTATTTTTATACTAATATTCTCTTCCAATGAGAATTAAGTATTTTGACTATCTGACGGGATGTGAAGCTGAGTTTTAGTTAATTAATCAGACATTTAGTCATAGGAGAGATAACAATCTCTCACGAACTAACAATCAAAAAGTAAACGTTTGTTCCACGTTCTCCTCAACTTTTTTATAAAATAAAAGTTTCGAATTTAATTAATATTGAAATATTATATTGATTTAAATTCTTATTAAAATACCAGTTCAACATTCAGATTCTCACATATCTTCCCACTTTTTAAAAATCACACAATCTTAAAAGGCGTGATTTTTCTTATCATTATAAAAGAGGATGCACACATGTAGCGCGACAACGAAAAGCGGTGTCGCAAATGCATCTTTGCCGTGCGTCAGCACAACCACACAACGGCAATCTGTTTACATTTCAGCGCATGCGTTCAATATTCAAGATGGCGAACGATACCGACAGTGGCGCTATCCACGTAGCTATACCGACATTGGCTATTTATACATACCGTATAATCCAGGGTGGCCAAGCTCCTTGATAGTCCGAGCCATTTTTCAAAATTTGAAATTTTTCGCGAGCCGCAATTAAATACGTATTAAAAAATAATNAATTCGAACATAAAATTCGAATATTGGTTCGATTATAGAACGATTGTAAACGTTCCAGAAACGTTGAAAATAGTTCGTTTTACTGGACGTGAACAGGAGACGTTCAGAAATAGAATCTGGACCAGGTCTCTAATTAGTCTAGAAACGGGGGACCTAATTCTTGCATTCTGTGAAAACGGGTAAGATTGGCTATAATGTAATTATCTTAATCTTCACTATCGTTACTTTTTAAAAACCCAGCGAAGCGGGTCCTTGCAGCTAGTTAATTAATAAAAAATTATGCATGTCTAATTTTACAATAAGGCGCAGAATGTTTTGAACAGGTTTCACAAATAAATATATGCGTTAGATCATTTTGAAGATCGTTTTCATTTATTTTTACGATATTACCCTAAATTATCCATAGATTTTAAGAATCGAAATTAATAACGCGTAAATGACAGAAAGTATTCTGTATTGATAGAAATAAATTCACTACTCAGTAAACTTTTTTCTGAATACATACATTATTTTCAGATTATATTCAGCTATTTCTGAAAATTACAGAACATGTTTAAATAAATACAAAACAAAATATTTTTGCATTATTTTATAAGAAAACTGTAAATTATGTTTCTTGTGTTTATTCGATTTTTGCTGCATTTTGTCTTGCTTAATATTTTTTATATATTATTACACAGCATTGGATGTTAAAATAAAAGAAAAACACAAAATAGGAAGAGCTAAAACATTACAGTAGAGCATCGTTTATCCGAAAGTCGGTTATCCGGAAGCATTCCAGTGGCAAATTTAAATTTTCGCTAGTGCTGTGGCGCTGCAATCTTTGGCTATATCTTGGGCTACTCCAATATTTTTTTTGTTGGTGTGTGTGTTTTAGCTGGCAGCACTGGCACTTTTGTGTGGTGTTTTTCTGAGGACTGTGTGTGGTGCTGAATCGAACGTTTTTGATACTAGATCAACTTCTAAAGTATATATTTTTTTGGTTTTTATATTTTTCAATATATTTATTTCGTTTGTACAAAATAAAGAAATAATTTTTAACGATACAATAGCCACGATTATTATTTTAAAAAGTTTACGTTAGGATTAACATCGACGAAAATTCAACGCGAAGCGACACGCAAGGGAGAAAAATTTCAACACGGGATAGGTTAATATATTTTTTCGTACATCATCGGTTATCCGAAAAATAAGTTATCCGAACAACCCTAGTCCCTAATTAATTCGGATAAACGACGCTCTACTGAATTGAAATGTTGGAGCCAAATGCTCATCATCAAAACAGTCTGTTGAAGCTGTTAGATAGTGTAAAAATGTAATTAATTAATTACTTTTACTGATATTAAAAATTTGTTAACTGTGTGTACAAAGAAATATTCCTTACTGAATTGACATACTATGAATACTCATACAGGCTTTGATATATATTCGTATATCAAACGCCTTTTGGGTTTATCTTAAATAATAATTAAACATTAGGTTCAAACATAACAAACAACAGACTTATCTCATTCTAGCCTTAAACTTAGGAACATCAAAAATTTAGTTGTTGAATAAACATAAGCTAGTATACACAGTGTACTGTGTATACTAGTTTATGTATACATATTTATTATACACAGTAATATATACAGTCGATCCCCCTATAACACGGTAGATACGTTCCGGTTTTTATGAATCCATTTTCTACGAGTCCAGCCAATCACTGCCCGGCACGTATGCAGTTTACGAACTACGGCTGTTTGAAAGGTTTCTTCCATAAAATTAATCGATTTTAGAATAATTCGACTCAACATTTCCAAAATACGTATAATTTTTAGGGAATAATCCATATAAACTTTGATATAAACAAAAAATTGTATGATTACTTACCGAGTGTGCACCGTTTGATTGCGCCATTGCTTAAGCTTGTTTTCGTCGTGGAGCTTGTCATCGAATGGCGCTCGCGTGCTTCCTGATAAATTATTTTTTTTTCGAAAAATTCGCTGAACTTTGGAGACATCATTAATATAAATGTAATTTTTATGGACGTTAAATAATAAATGGTATTTAGTAGTCCGCTGCTCGTTTAAACTCAACGGTTTGTGCAATATCTGCTATTGGTCTAGATTCGACCAATCCTGTCGCGACACGAATCGGCGATGAGGTTTTACCGAATAATAGGAGTTTTTTAGCATGTTTGTACGAATACTGTCGCAATTTTTTCGCCATGATATAGGAATCCGAACTATAGGAACCCATGTTATAGGACAGGGTCGACTGTATATACATACATACACACATACATGTGAGGAATCGAGTTCGATATGGTTGATTTATCGAATGATTATCGACTACAGGTTTGTGAAACCTGCCAACACTGTCATTGGATGGTAATTCATGATATTTTTAAGAGAGATCGAAAATCTTACGAATTACAGGTCCTTTTCCTGATACCAGGTAAAAAAGAAATTTCGTATCTTACCTTGCGATATAAAACGATTAATAAAATAATTCCCAAGGCAGAGGAACTTAGGTTCTTAGATAAAGCATTCAACTTATAAATCATTCGAAACGAGAACAATTTGAGTAATAAAACAAAACAGAATTTAATGAAATAGAAATTAAATACAAGACTCTAATATAATGTACATAATAATATTATAAATCCTTATAATTAGAGAGAGAAAGAGAATTTACAATAACTGATATGATAGATAATGCCTCTGTATAGTTAATATAAGTCTTCCTTAATATGGGATGAGTCACATTCATCCAAGGTTTGAAATTGTAACCTGGTACATTAATTAATGTTAGGTGGAAGTATGGGAACAAAGGAGATCAGGCACAAATTTAAAGATAGAGATAAACTGATGAATCCGGGCAGAATTTGGCGCCAATAACCGTTTTATATAAAAATATTCTCCAGTCAGGAGCTGAATCTTTTGTCACTTGACCAAGATGAAGTTAGGTCAAAAGTTAGTCATAGGATGTGATAAACTTTTCTAAAGGAAGTAAACTGGTGGGAAAGGAAACTATATTTCCTTCTTTTTCCTTAATTTTCCCTCAAAATTTGTAAAAGTGTACAATTTTATTTACAAAATATTACCTCAAATTTTATAAATTTTATAAAATAAATGAATCTGAAATTCAGATTCTCACATACACATACATACAAACAAACACACATACATACATACAAAGTATACTGTGTTTGATAAGTATGTTGTTGGTTGTGTTTGAACCACGTATTTAAACGATTACTAAATACATTGTTTAAAAGTATATTTGAAGAATTTTATTAATTTCATAAAACGCACGTTTATCTATTTCTGGCACATAATTGTTGAAAAACTTAACGCATTTCAGTAGAAAATAGTTATGACACATTTCACACCATATCTTAAGAAATCATTGAATCCTAATACAAAAATTTATTGTACACCTACACACCCAACATTCTCCTTTTTTGTAATATACATATATGTATATTAATATAGATAACTAAATTAAACAATGGAAAACAGCAATTTTATTTTGTGTTCAATCTATTTTATTTAACCCTATTTAAAAGTATAATCAATCTGAAAATAGTACTAAATACTATCAATAAAATACCAATGCGCAAAACTAAATAAAAATTAAAATTAATAATAATAATTCATAAAACATAACTCTAATTAATCACAAAAAAGTCGTCTCAAAATTCGTCAGAAACATTTTAGTACTTTTGACATCGCCTGAGATCTCAGCTAGGCCAACATGTATAATTTCTTTTAAAATGAAAAGTCTCATTACAAAGCAATATTTCTCACTGCATTGTATGATGTGAATGTGTGTGAGAGAGATCTGCTTGCAAGACCAGAGGTTATCAAAGATTAGCCTTACGTTAAACGCACTACTTGTTGATTGGCAGAAGAGTTAAAACATTATTCGCGAGCAGTGTTGCCACCTTTTCAAAATTTTTGACCTGGACAGGGACAACAATTTTAAAAACTTGGCGACACTGACTCGAACAGAGGTTAACTATTTTTGATATTCGTTTTGTGTCAGCCGATTTTTATTGAATTTACAAGTTTGCTTTTTCTCTTTTTTGTGTTTTCAATTTTTAAAGTTGTCATATTAAATAATTAAATAATTAAAATAGAAATTATGAACTAGTACACTGAAACTGTCACATTTACTTTATAATATGTTTGTTCCAACACAAATCTCTGACTGATTTGAATTTGAACCCGTATGAGGCACGCACAATGTCATTTTTACAGCCAAGAACTGAACCATAAGCATGCCAGTTTTAAACCAGTATTTAATTACCAGACCTGATATTTGACAGAGATATTTGCAAGTTAGAATTTTAAAAGTACATTTTCTGCCACTCAGCCTAGGGATAACTTTGGGTGAGGATATGAAGTAAAAGTCTTTAACAGTTAAAATAAAATACTTGCAAATATTTTAATAAATTCATTTTGTTTTATCATAATTTCACAATTTCTATGAAAACCGGACAAATTAATAATTAATCCGGACCATAAATTTAACAACCGGCTTGTCCAGGTGAAAACCGGCCTGGTGGAAAAACTATTTACGAGTTTCCAGGTTCTATTCAATATCTAACTAAAGATTTTAATTTCCTGATACAGTTTGATATTTGGAAAAGATAATATTAGCATAAAAATCTATTTATGGGCTATGCTACCGCTTATTAGAACTAATAAATAAGTGAAATTACTCGCTACAATGCAAAAATATGAAATGTGTCTAAACATAAGTAATTTTTATAAAACGAACAGTTGTGTATTATCGTCAAATATATTCAATTTTTCAGATTGGCCCAGCAATGGGGTATGTTCATACCAAAGGTTTATTGCAAAATGGAATGATTGTATATAACGTTATACCGGAAGGACCATTTCGACAGAGATTCATTCGACATTATTACTCGTTTTCTCGATTTGCAGCCATATTTGATTATATTTTGTTTTTTGCAGAATATTGTATGGTGAGATTGTATCATTTCAATCACTAAAATTTTAAAATATACGTATTAATACATATATTTTACGTAGAAATAAATATTTTAATAGGTGGAGCGGGACATTCGCATATGGAATTACAAAATGTATCAGAAGAATCCAGTTTACACGTCAGAAGACAGAACAATTGTGAAATTCAGAAAATGGTACTCTCAGTTTTACAGCGAAAACAGCCCGAGGGTCGAAGAACAATATCTTACTTGGTGATTGGAAGTAATTTTATACTTTATAGATCTTTTGAGCGATATTACATATATTAGTTAAATTCCAACTTTTTATAATCATAATTAATTTTGCGGTTTATATTATAACCTTAAAAATTGGTGCATTACTTTAAAATTACTTCTAAAATGTTATTTATGTCAAAAATCTTTCTTTTTTTGTATTTTAAAAATTAAATCTTTATTTAAACTACTACAAAATATGAAATAAAGATAATTATGTGTTTTGTTAGTAGTAGTTATTTGCTAGACTTTGGGGTATATTTTATTTATAAGATTACATAAGTAAGTTTACATTTTAAAGAACACATACTTTTAATTTCCTTCTTTGAGTTTATTCAATTTTTCTATCATATCATCAGAAACGTTAGAAATATCATGAAGTACATTGACTAATAAACGATATCAATTATCAGCAATATATTTCTGATCTACTTTTTGGTATTTTAAACATAACACAAAAATAGATGATTTTAGAAATCATGAATGAAATCTTTGTTCAGTTTTTTTTTTACCGTATTGCACTATTCACTAGTACACGGAAAATTGCTAGTTTTCCATTCGTTTCTAACTTTTGGAGGCTTAATAAATCCCGAGTATGTAGACTGGTATAAAAATTAAAAATGAGGTAAACAGGTTAACATAAAGAAAAACACTTATTTTAATAAATACCCTAAATGCATTTCGCCTGCTAAGGCCTCTTCAGTAGGGTTTCTTACAACCAGAGTGTACAACAGGAACCAAACCCGCAACCGACACTTCTTTCTCAGAAGATTCAGANTTCCTTATGGGATGATGAGACACATTCATCTAAGGTTTGGACTTGTAACCTGGTACGCTAATTAATAGGCAAGGAAGAAGTACGGGAACCAAAGGAGATCATTCAAAATTTTAAAATATACGACGATTACTGTAGAATGCGCTCTGATTTTGGCGTGTAAGTATTTTTATACTAATATTCTCTTCCAATGAGAATTAAGTATTTTGACTATCTGACGGGATGTGAAGCTGAGTTTTAGTTAATTAATCAGACATTTAGTCATAGGAGAGATAACAATCTCTCACGAACTAACAATCAAAAAGTAAACGTTTGTTCCACGTTCTCCTCAACTTTTTTATAAAATAAAAGTTTCGAATTTAATTAATATTGAAATATTATATTGATTTAAATTCTTATTAAAATACCAGTTCAACATTCAGATTCTCACATATCTTCCCACTTTTTAAAAATCACACAATCTTAAAAGGCGTGATTTTTCTTATCATTATAAAAGAGGATGCACACATGTAGCGCGACAACGAAAAGCGGTGTCGCAAATGCATCTTTGCCGTGCGTCAGCACAACCACACAACGGCAATCTGTTTACATTTCAGCGCATGCGTTCAATATTCAAGATGGCGAACGATACCGACAGTGGCGCTATCCACGTAGCTATACCGACATTGGCTATTTATACATACCGTATAATCCAGGGTGGCCAAGCTCCTTGATAGTCCGAGCCATTTTTCAAAATTTGAAATTTTTCGCGAGCCGCAATTAAATACGTATTAAAAAATATGCAAAAAATTCCAGATTACAAATTATATCCGTAGCAAGAGTGATACAAATTGTTTCCTCCAGAGCACAATGTCAACTGTCCGTTGCAATGACAGTTTACAAATTCAAAATCGGTCTGAAGTCGGTCGATAACGGACGATTACGCCACTGTTTATAACGGCTACGGATAACGGATAACAACAAAAGCCACTGTTTATGTTCGTTCGCGCAGTTTTCGATGAGTCATATCATTCTTAATTAGACGGAAATGAAATTTGTTACAACGTTGCACTTAGTCTTTCATATTTGTTGTTAGTAATTTAAAAGACATTTTGAAACACATACGGAACGATAATAATTTTTTAAAATATAATAACACAAAAATGAAAAGGGAACTCGGGTACATTTATCGAGAGCCACAAATAATCTTTCAAAGAGCCGCATGTGGTTCGCGAGCCGCAGGTTGGCCACCCCTGGTATATATAAATATCCACTTTGTAAATTTATTATCCTTTCCTCTATATTCTGATGTTAGTTATCTCGGTTAACCACGTTTAACTTTTTCTCATTAAAACACCACATGATTGTATTTTCTCATGTGACTACCAGACGAACTGTTATTGGCTGATAGAAACGCGTCTTGGCGGCGGTCGCTGCAAAAGATAGAATTCGACCAACTTTTGCGGCACGAGAAAAGCGGCACAAAATCGACTTCTGCAGCGAGAAAAAGTGACGTTATCTTGCCGCTTTTCCTTGCCCCGCCGCATGTGTGTATTCTCTTTTATATGGAGGTATTTGTCATACACATAATATCTTGTACTTTCTCTCGAAGTTTACAAAGCAAAAATAAAATTATTAATACATAACTGTGCCCAAAAATGATTAATAGTAAAAATTATATATGTGTCAATGATTATAAACAAAAGCATTTGAGATGATAAAAACAAATTATATATGTGTTCCAAGTAAAGTCGACCCTCCTATAACACGGTAGATACGTTCCGAGTTTTATGAATCCAGCTTCTAGACTATGCTATAGACAAGAAATTGTGTACCGTTCGACGACGTCATTGCTTGAGCTTGTTTTCGTCTCGGAGCGGCGCTCCGCGACGAAAACAAGCTCAAGCAATCGGGACATTCCAATTTTCAACGCGAGTGTTGAATGTTGAAGTCAATAATTTGACGTCATCAACGACATTCCAACTCGAGTACGAAGTGCTTAGTTCCTATAATTCCATTCTCAGCAAGATAGATTCCATTCAAATGTCTTACCAATTACCCACAATTCATTGGAAAGTAGCAGTCAACATATCTGTTGAGTGCTAAGTGTGTTGAGATAGCGCTGACAACAGCGCCACTTCAACATTGAAAAAAGGAACGACTTTTAACGAATGTTGAGATCAGCACTGAGTCAGCGTTGAAAATTGGAATGTCCCGAATGAAGAAAGTTTTCTGATAAGTTATTTTTCTGCGAAAAATTATCTGAACTTTGGAGACATCATTAATTGAAATAATTTTTATGGCCGTTGAATAAGAAATGTTTTTTTCACAAGAAATGTATAAAAATTTATCCATACATATTTTCTACCTATTAAACTTTTGTTTGATTTATTAATTTTATTGATATTTAATATTATTATTAATTTATTAATTAATTTGTTAATTTTGTTTAATTTAAGTACCTAATTTATATACTGCACAGACGACAGTAAACTCATCTGATCCGCCTAAACTCTCCGTAGCGTGGCGCTGGACGGCGGAAAGTAGTTCGGCTGCCCGTCCACTACTGGTCTAGATTCAACCAATCCTGTCGCGACACGAGTCAGCGATGGCGTTTTACCGAATTATAGGAGTTTTTTTTAGCATGTTTGTTCGAATACTGTCGCAATTTTTTCGCCGTGATATAGGAACCCGAACCCGGGGGTTTACTGTATTTAAAATGTCTTTTCTCTATCTCAAGAAATATTATAAAATTCTCTCAGATCAGGAACTGGATATATTCTTCTCGAGAAGTTGTTCAGTCATAATAGTTGATGCTCGGGCATATCTCCTGGAAATTAGGGAGTCGTTCTTTCTATTATATACATCCTATATTGTCATTAATTGTATACGTTGTAGTTTTTCTCTTTGGTAGAGATTTTCTTTAAAATTTTTTTATTGTCGGGTCGAATTAAACAGGAAACACTGTCAGTTGTGAGAATTTTTTGACGAACAGGTACAGATTTCAATTCTTGTTCTTGTGAATGAAAAGTATGCTGAGTCACTGTTCTCAAAGTTCACAAAAAGTCAATTATTCAAAATGATTAACACAATTATTAACTGTTTTCGTAATGTTCAAGAGGTATTTAACATTGATAATTACATTTGTAAAATATTTTATACTCTCTCTAATAAAATCTATTACTATTTAAAAATTATTTATTCTAACCATTATATCTACTCACTATCTATTATTAAACATATATAGATTAATGTTACTAGATTAACTTATAGTAAGAAAATAGATATTTAAAAATTATCTATTGTATGGAGATAAGTGTTATCTCTATTCTCTCTAAGGAGAGATAAAAATAATTTAAACTTTCCTTTATATTATGATTTATTATAATCATACGTTTAACGATCTAGTAAAAATTTAAATTAAACATGCATTACAGCAAAATAAAATTACCGGCTTTTATATTAAATTGTGCAATGCTTTTATATTTTATCACCAGGCTCATTTTACTTATGCTGAATCTTATGATAAGTTTATTCTATTACCTTTGCGATTGACAGAGAGAAAATTTTACGTATTATAGTAATACCCCGACTTACGCGAACCCGGAGTTACGCGATTTTCAAATCTCGTCGATTCGTCTTTTGTTTGAGCGCCACGCGACCCTTGATTACTCACTCCCCCCACACTATTGTTCAGCTTACATGTTCGGATGTGTCGCGGGGAATCCACACATAGCTACAATTTATTTTGTGTTATTTATTTCTGTGTTTGTTATATCTACGGAGACTTGATACAGTCTACTATGTCATCCAAACGAAGTAGAACTAATTCTTCTGCATCAAACAAGAAAAGAAAAACTTTATCTTTGGAATGTAAAGTTAACATTGGGTATGTTCGTAAAGTCGAACGAGTTAAGCGA